TTTAATACATGAAATTAAGAATAAGGCATAATATCTATGCAAGTAAACAAGATTGGAACATTACAATTAACACGATAAGAGTTATACATAAAATCAAGAACAAGGCATAATATCTATGCAAGTAATTAAGGATGGAATCTTCCATACAACACGAAAAAAGTCTTAAATCTTCAAGGAATACAACACTTGAAATTTAAGAAGTGAAATCATGGATGAAGCATAAAATCTATGCAATGAAACAAGATTGGCGCATTTCACATAACACGAAAAGTATTAAATCTTCAAGGAATAGCAACTTGAAATTTAAAGAGTGAAATTAACCAATGTGGAAACTCGGATATCACCCGGATTAAAGCCGTACTCTTGGGATCACTTTAGGGCTACTAACCCATGGGTACCTTCCCCTAGTGCGCACTATAGTATAGGGAACTCTCTATCTCCCGTACAACCAAGTCCTAGCCATGTCAATTCTTGATTGATATCCTAAGTTCCAAAATCAACAAGTTGTGTAAGTCAAGACAGCATTAAGATACAAGTAATGCATTAACCACGTTTCATGCACAACCAAGATTTTGGAAACACACAAGTCATGCCCTAAGTTTTCAACTATGATGGCATGTGAAATGTCAAGAAATCATAGTGTGCATCTATGTAGTCTACAACCAAGATATATAGCACATGAAATCCACTAGTGTAAATATACCACAAGTATAAAATTAATGATCAAATTGTTTACTAAACAATGTATGAGTAATCAAACCATTCCAAGATAAGGGTACTAAGTAGAAATTAATTAGCCTAATTAATTAATTTCTCTAGAAATCAAACTCGTCCAAAGATTCTCAAACTAACATATGTGAATATCCATTCCATGGTGATTGCAAATATCGCATCAATTTCACAAAGTGAGCAAGATATCATCATGTGGAATTTAATCAATTTAAATTAATTAAATTTCTAGATTTCAAAAGTTGTTTAAATGATCCCAAATAAATATATAACAAGGATTAAGTCATGGCCATGCCATATATTAAGTCAAAAATGGAATACAAGTAAGGTACAATTAACTAGAATTTAAATCAAATTAAATTTATTAGATCTCTAGATTTGAAAACTTATTCAAATGGCTCCAAATAATTATATAACAAAGATCAAGCCAAGGCCATGCCATATATCAAGTCTAAAGTGAGTTATATGTAAGTTACAATAAATCATTAATTTCTCAAATTAATATAAAACATGCATACAACTTGTATTTCATACAAAAGCAAGTAAAATCACTTGGAAAATAAATTATAACACCCCCTATCTCATAAGAGGATTGTTCCTCTTAAATCCAAGGTTAGCAAGCACAAAATGGTAAACCCTTCTAGGGTTATGAAGAGGAGAGTGAGAGGAACAAAAAGTATTCCCAAGGTTAAGCTTGGAAATCAATAGAAGGCTCTCAAAAATCAAGGTCAAAGCTTAAGACTCTAAGCTTTATCCATGGAGGCTAGGGTTTTCTTTACAAGAGAGGGAGATGATGAAATAATGAGATGAAATGTGAGTGGAGGAAATAGAAATCCTCCACTCACTATATGATCTTACACCATGGTCAATACACACAAGTCTTGGTCAATTGCATAAAAACTCTTCTTTAAAACCATAATCCCAAAGTGGCCTAAAAATAATTGCAAGACTAAATTGTGAGCCTACACTTGTCATTAATCCAAGGCTCATTCCTAGGCTTAATCTCAAGCCTACACTTGTCAACCATCCAAGCCAATAAGTGCACCTACCCTAGGCCAACAAGTGGGTGAATCTCCACCCTCCACATGTCATCATCCAAGGCATCAAAGTGTTTCCACACAAATGTCAACAAGTGGACCAATGAGAGTATGACACTTGTCACACTTTTTCAGAAATTGCAAAAAGGTCCTTTTTGAAAATATCTTCCAAATTAAATTGCAAAATGGTCCCCAAGATGAAAAAATAATTACTTTGCATAATTACACAAGTAACCCCCAAAACAAGAAAGTTTCAAAAGAAAGTATGCATCCACACCCCTAAGGAAGAAAATGCACTAATGGCATGCATTTCTAGGAAAGTAAAAATACATATAGTATGGAATTTAAATATCATGGATGCATGCAAAACTGTAATCAAATCCGAACACGAAAAATGAGGTTGTGCCAACAAAGTGACAACCGAGAAAAAGACGAAATGTGAATAGTGTCGAAAAAACGAAAATGTGGTAATGACTCAGTCCTAAAAGGAAGTTGTCAATCCAAATGAAAGAGTCTCGGAAACTATTTCCAAGCACTCGAGACAACACCCAGTAACGGGAAACAGAACTCGGAAAAGAAAATTAAAAGAAAAAAAAATTATCTGTAAAATTTGAGAAAAAAGGAAAGGGAGGAAAATGATCGGGTCATTACAAACTGCCATGCATTTTCAAACCTCACCATAAAGAACCCTCCTGGCAATGATACCAATTTAAACAAACCCACTGATTTCCATATTCGCTTCAAGAAATCATTAAAATGTGAAAAATATGGTTGTTTTCCCACCACGTAGCCCACGATTGAATGTTTCCAATATTCTACCTCTTCCTCAACATCTGCATCCGTGATTTTAACCACCTTTTCCCCACGACTCTCCGGTATATAAGGCAGTTTCTTCATCTTCTTCTGCACCTCAACATCAAACAGCTTCCTCTACAAAGGTGGAGAGGTCTGTTTTTGGTTCTGGTCCTGGACTGATGCATAAGGATTACCAGCCCCCACTAGCGTGAGAGAGGAGGAAGGATCCTCCTCCATGATTAACAATCACATAAGTCCACACCATTGGCCAATGCTGCCGGAATTGTAGTTGAAACCCTAGTAAAGCTAAAACCCTAAGTCACCTAGTTAGAGAGAAAAAGGGCAAAGCAGTAATTTACTTAGGTTGTAACAATAATTATAATTAAAAAATAATATATTAGGGACAGTCCCCCAAATTGTCCCTAATTCATAACTTGTTAGTGACTGTATGTACCGCCCTTAAAGGTCTTAATTTTTTGTCACAGTCAACTTTAATTGTCCCTAAAGATCTTTTGTCACGCTACTTTTAGTGACAGACTAATTCGACCTTTAGGGACGGTTTATCACCTTTTAGGGACAATTTTGACTGTCACTAAAGCCTTAATTTCTTGTAGTCATGTGTCCGACTTTGCCATGGGTGCCGTCTTATGCCAAATAGTGGGCAAACTACCATGCGCCACATACTATGCAAGCCAAACTCTCTCGAGAGCTCAATTGAATAACTCCACTGCCGAGAAGGAGTTGCTTGCCGTAGTGTTCTCCTTGATAAGTTTTGGTTATACCTCTTCGGATCAAAGGTTATTGTGTTTTCCGACCATATTGCTTTAAGACATCTTTTGTTGAAAAGGGAAACCAAACCTTATTTGATAAGATGGATCATACTCTTTCAAAAGCTAGACTTTGAAATCAAGGATAAAAAGGGCTCCGACAATGTCGTTGCCAACCACCTCTCTAGGTTGTTGATTGAATCTTCCCCAAATCTTTCAAGAGCTAGACTTTGAAATCAAGGATAAAAAGGGCTCCGACAATGTCGTTGCCGATGAGCAACTCTTTCATATTTCCAATGGGAATTTGACATGGTTTGCCGACATTGTGAATTATCTTGCAATTGGCAAACTTCCCATTACTTGGTCAAAACAAGAAAAGGACCGTTTCTTTGAAAACATCCGGAAGTACTATTGGGAGGATCCAATCTTGTTTAGATATTGTCCGGATCAAATCATAAGAAGATGTGTGCCGGAAAGTGAAATTCCAAGCGTTCTTGTGTTTTGTCACCCTCTTGCATGTGGTGGGCATTTTAGTGCAAAGAAGACCGCCCTTAAGGTTCTTCAAAGTGGCCTATTTTAGCCCACTATTCATAGAGATGCCGATAACTTTTGCAAAGTGTGTATCTGGTGTCAAAAGTTGGGATCCGTGTCAAAGAGAGACATGATGCCCTTATCTCTGATCCTCATTGTTGAAATCTTCAATGTGTGGGGAATGGACTTCATGGGACCATTCCCAATGTCATATGGCTTTACTTACATCTTCCTTGCCGTCGATTATGTGTTAAAATGGGTGGAAGCTTGTGTTACCAAAACGAATTACTACTCCGTGGTAGTTGCATTTATCAAATCCAACATCTTCACTCGTTTTGGAATGCCAAAGGCAATCATTAGTGATGGAGGGAAGCATTTTTGCAATCCCTTCTTGAAGCAACTCTTCTTGAGGTACTCCGTTACTCATAAGGTAGTCACTCCCTACCATCCACAAACAAGTGGGTAAGTTGAGGTATCTAATCGGGAGATTAAGCATATATTAGAGAAAACGGTAAATCCGGACCGAAAAGATTGGTCAAAAAAGCATAATGACGCATTATGGGCTTACCAAACGGCTTACAAGACTCCAATAGGCATGCCTCCTTATAGACTTGTTTATGGGAAGTCTTGTCATCTTCCGGTTGAGCTAGAACACAAAGCTTTTTGGGCAATCAAGAGGCTCAATCTTGATCTTGACAAGGCCGAAGAGAACCGTTTGCTCCAATTGAATGAGCTAGAGGAATTAAGGAATGATGCCTATGACAATGCTAAAATTTACAATGCAAGGATAAAAGCTTTTCACGATAGTCAAATTGTGAAGAAGTCTTTTGAGCCTGGGCAAAAAACATGGCTCTTCAACTCTAAGCTTAAATTCTTTCCCGGGAAGCTACGCTCTAGGTGGGATGGTCCATATGAGATCATTTCCGTCTCATCTCATGGAGCGGTAGAAATCAAATGCTTGAAGGATGAAAAAATTCTCAAAGTGAATGGTCAAAGGTAGAAATCCTACATTGAAGGACAAACTATTCAAAAGGATGTGGAAGCCACCCTCTTGGTGGATCCCATGCATCTTAAAGATTGGTGGATCTCAGATGCTAAACCTTGATTGGTTGAGTTTTCACCTCTATTCCCTCCTTTTTCTTTCTTATTTTTCTTTCTTGCATCGCCTACACAGTCCCATTGATTATTTAAGGAATCCCATTGAAAAATAGCAGGCATTTAGTGCCTTTTCAGGTTCCATGCCTGTTCAAATTCCTAAAACCCTACAGATTTGTTTTAACCTCTTCAAAACCCTATTTTGTTTTTCTTTATATTCTCTTCCTCTCTTTTTTTCTCTCTTTTTTCCTCCTCTCTCTCACACCACCACCCCTCTATCACCTCATCTCTCTTCTTCTCTCTAGCCGAAGCATCACCCAACCTCTTCACCCCCTCATCTCTTTACCTCCTTCAAGCCGGAGCCCACCAACTCTGCATCTTCTCAGGCCGTTTAGCCGGCCACATATGCATCTTCGCCGGCCACCGCTGCGGTTGCTCTGGCCGTCTTCTCCGAGAAGACCTCTCTCTCTTCCTCTTGGATTTCCTTCCTCTCTCTCTCGGAATCTTCATCCGGGTATAGTTCTCTCTCACCTTCTATATATATATATATATATATACATATGCGTATCCAGTGCTAATATTCTGAAAAAATAATTTCATATATATATATGTTGCCTTGTGTTCATTTTCGGCTTAACAGAGATTGAAAAGGGGGTTTTTGATTTTCGAATTTGGAAGTTTAGTTTTTGATGTTGATCTATATATTTCCATATATATGGTTTCTGTGAATCTGTCATGCATGTATGGCTTGGAATTTCAAATATTTGCTGGGTTGTCTGATCATATATATAGAGGATTTGTGTTCTGAAATTCTGAAGAAGCTGTGACTATGTATAAATATTCAAGGTGCATATAATTCTAAAGTTTGAATTTGTTTTTGTTGTTGATTTGTTGATAAAGAAATCTGTGGGAGAAAATTTGATTTGAATTGACTAAGTCTACATATCTATCAATGCCGAGGCTGTAGCTTTGAATTTAAATTTTTTTTGATGAGGACAATTTTGATACATATGTGTATGTTTTGTATGTTGAAATTTTGAAGAACCTGTTCTGATATATATCTGTGATTTGCACTTCGAATTTTTTATGGACTATCTCTGTGATCATATATATAGATAATTTGTGTTCTAAATTTTTGTTGAAGCTTTGACTGTACGTACATATGTTGCTTGGGGTTGAGAATTAGGAAATTTGGAGAGAAAAATTTGTTTCTCTAAGTGTTATACATGACAGAATATTGAAATTTTGGATTTGGCAACACACTGTGGAGAGTATGCATGTTATAGTGAGTTATACATGTTCAAATGTGGGTATCTTTGTTTACATTAAGTTCTGAGTTGTGGCAACTTGAGAATTTGATTGTCTCAACTGTTTTGCATGTTCAATTAACCCATATATTGAGAACTGAAAAATTTCTGTCACGTGTGGAGGCCTTAAAAATTCTGAAATTGCAACCTTTAATTTCTGAAGGTGTTCTATGTATATATGTGGGCATTTGGGACTTTTTAAGATGACTGATCTTCAATTCATATTTGCTCATGTATGTGGGTCATTTGTGGTGAAATAATTCTGAAAATAAGGGCTGAATTTGTTGTATGTGTTATATAGTTTTCAAATCTGAAATTGAGATGTGATACTTGAAAGTTGAGATTTGGCAATTGAATTTGTTTTCTACAAATGTCAATAGCTACAATGCATGATTTCTTGTGAGAATGCTTATATACAATGCATGTGAAAACAAAATCTAAAAATTTCAGTTTGAAGCTAAGTGTTAGAATTTTTCAGAAATTGTCCAAAGTATCCATAATTTAGCTGAATGTGTTCTATATGCTCTATGTTTGATATATCCTCCCAAATGCATGGTTTTGAGTACTAATAAATGCAAATTTCTCCAAGTTCTTAATTCTTGCCATTTCATGATTAGTTGTGAAACAAATGGGATGTGATGTCAACTTAGAACCCAAAGGTGTTGGAATTAGAGGTTGTGATATTGCAATTGAGTTTGAAATGATCATATGTGAATCCTTTGAATAAGTATTGTGCTTTTTGAAATAAAATGCAAATTCTTGATTTGTGCATACCTTTGTCAATGATAATAAGCTTGCACACACATTGATTCACATTGTTGATCTTGAAAGCATGCTTACACTTTTGAATGCTATTGTTGTTGCAAATGTCATATTACTTTTAAATTCATCTTGTTTTGGGAAAATGAGAGCTTTGTGTTCAAATATGCATGACTAAGTTGTCATTGATAATTAGGATACCTTTTGTTTCTCCAAGTGTTCATTGATGATAAAAAAAAAAACCATACAAGACAAAAGAAGTAGTACAAGCATTGTGAAGTACATGACAAAGAAAAAAAAATTGGAAGAGAAGATGCAGCATATAAAAAAATTGGTACCAACAAGTTCGGCTTGAATATCTGAAGACCAGTCTGCAAGCAAGTTAGATGACACAGTGTGCATTTAAAGCCTGAGATTTTAGAATTGATGTCAAACACTATGCAAAAGGTCGTATATATAGCTAATAAAATACCTCCTATTTACAATAGGATTCGCATAATTCAATTCAAATTGGAAAGTGAAGAATTACAATCCAATGTTGGATAAGAAAGTGAAAAAGAAAACTTTACAATTCAAAGACCAAGTTGGACACTGCAAGTCCCACTTGAAATAGGAGACAAGTCCTGTCAAACGCGGAACTTGAAGTGGGGACAATTTGTAAACACTAAAATTTCATGGGCTTTTGTTTTGACAAATTGCCCCAGCAAATTTGGGTCTCATATTTAATTAAATTATTTAATTGACGCAAACTTGGTCAACTTAAATTATTTAATTAGCCCAACACACTTAATTAAATAATAAAAAATGATAATTATTCTCAATAAAATTTATTTTGGAATAATTTTTTTAACAGATAATTATCACAATATAACTGGCTCGTCTAGTTATAATTGTGTCTTTATCAAGAAAGGACACATGTCATCATCCTATTCATCCAAGAAGTCTATAAATAGAGGCATGGAGGAAGTGGAAAAGGTGCTAAAATTTAGAGACTTAGAAGTCCAAAATTCCAGAGTAAACCGACATTCATCCCTAACACCCAAGCCTTGAAGAAGAACAACAACAAGCACATCCAAAGTCGTGCCGCTCTTTATCAAATTCAGCAAATCTTCTGAAGGCAAAGTACAATAAGCACATAAAAAATTGTGTTCTTCTTCCTCAAATTCACAAATTCTCTAAAGGCAAAGAACAACAAGCACATCCAAAATTGTGCCTTTCTTCCTCAAATTCACAACTCCTCTGAAGATGAAGAACAATAAGCACATCAAAAATCGTGCCTTTCTTCTTTGTGATTCAACAACTTTGAAGAATTACCAAACAATATTGTTCGAGATCAAGCTTCATCAGCCCTCGATCATAAATCATCGACGGTCTTCCTCAATTACAAATTGAAGAAGATTGTCAACAAATCAATTCAAGATCAAGCTCCAACAGTCCTTGGATCCAACCAACAAAGGAGATCGAATCAAAGGACATTTTCTTTCTTTTGTAAAGAATACCTCAGAGGATTGTACTCAATTTTCATAAATCAATTAATTATTATTTACCCCATATTTCATTCTTTAATTTGTAGATACGAAATTTGTGTGTACAATAAGAAAAAAGTTTTAATTGTTAAATCACAACTGAACTTAAAAAAAGGAAACACTTGGTCCCCATATCTGAAAATTTTAATATAGATTTTCTCAATTGCATAATCCCATTCTTGGGGGCCTCTCTTGCTAGCCATGGCTTGTCCAATTGTACTTAGCGCGAGTGGCAAACCGACACATTCTTTGCAAACATCTTTTGCGAGATTTATTATGTCAGAGTGAGAATTGAGGGTCTCGTCTCCCACCTTATCTTTAAACAAATACCAAGTTTCCTGCGGTGCCTTTATCTTCTTCTTAGCTTCCACAAGACCACACACATCTTTAGATCGGGTAGTGAATACTATCTTAGCCTTATTATGATTGTCTAGAACTTGAACTCCCCAAGAAAATGAATTTGTTTTCATGTCATCCAAAATAGCATAAGTTCTCCTCCTCTTCAAGACTATAAAGCTATCTCTTCAAGACTATAAAGATATCGGCCATCTTTTCCTCTTGGCTCTTACCCCTCTACATCTCATCTGAAAAATAATTTAAAATTTAAGAAAATAAAAATAACAAACATCTAATTTATAAGGAATTTAAAATTAGTAATTTTATTCATAATTATATTGGGGTAAAATAATAAAAACTAAAATTATCCATATAACTAAACATCACCAAACCACCTTAACTTTTTAAAAAAATCATCAAGTTCGTTAAATTAAAATTAAAATATATTTCACAACCTAGTTAACAGGGGAGATGAGTCACACAATGAAATAAAATCATCACTTTTGTTAGTAGTGGGAATTATTTAATATTACAAGGGATTATATGATTTATTTGGAATACAAATGAAGAGTTTTTTTTGAGATACCGCTAATTAGAGAGAGATGAAATGAGCAAAAAAATTTGGACACATACGTGTCATACATTATTTGGATTTTTCACGTGACACTACTTGGTTCGACTCAAAACAAACACATTTTATAGCTCATCCAGATATTGGGCACCCCTGACAAGAAGCCCTAACTGGACGTCTAAGCCATCAATGTTGCCGTTGTTCTCGATACTTTAGCCATCGGTGAGTTTGTTATATATATATATATATAGTATCTTTTTTCAATTCTTCTACTTGTTAGGAAAATGTTCAGTTGAGTTGAGTACAATTCGTGTGCCTCCATTTTTAATCTGTATTTGTTTCTTTTTTCCCCCTTCTTTTGGAGGGGTTTGTGGAGTTCTAATTAACTAGTACAATGAACTAATTACAGCATAAGAAGAATGATTATCACGCGGGTGTTTATTTATTTATTTATTTGGTTTTGTTTCTGTGCTTAAATTTATTAAATTCAAGGAATTATTTATATATATTTTCAATTTTAAAAAAAGTCCACAGAGATCATAGCACTTGGAAATTCCATTATATGTTTTTGACAACAGTGTGCATCCTCTTGTTAGAGAATGAATTATGCGTTAGGAGTAGCAAACACCATCTAGATGGACTCTGATTCTGGCTATTGATTCCAAAATGTAGTTTAGTTGATATGATGTTGAGTTGTGAAATAAATCCTACACAAATTGTGTGGACATGGGATTTTAATTTTACGATGCGCACTTTCCAACTTTGGAAGATATCATTTCAAGAAAATAAAGGATTGATTTCACCATGGACCATGTTTCTAAGAGTAGCGGAATACTTTTATGTGGCTGCGTTTTCATTTCAATAATGTTAATTACCGCCTGCATATTTTGTCAAATTCTCTGCATTACAGATGGACAACTAAGCCGATCTTGAAGCACTGTAACACCAGCACTAGGTGACTAGCATGGACGAATAATAACTGATTGTATTCTTTTCAACTTTTGTTTTGTTCCGGCATAATTATATGGTTAGTTGAATTCACCTAAGTGAATGAATTTGATTCTAATAACTCATTTACTTATACCACCACTACACGTAAAACCATTCATTTTGGTTCTGATGGCCTATGAATTGTTTGCACATATTCTGACCATTGCTTTTGTGATATTTTTCTTATGTGTAATTCATCTCAGTGCGAATATACCTTTCTATGTGAGATTTAGTATGTGTGCTGCAATGTGGAAGAATGTCCTGCATCGAAACAATTTGCTTATGATCAGGCACTACTCAAGACTTTCTCCTCCACCACCTGCTTCTGCTGAACCAATCATCCGAGTTTCCAACCACATAACTCAATTGGGCTGTCCGAAACAGGGACCAAAGCCTCGGCAGCTCCTATCCTTGCCTCCATTCCCTGCGCACCCCTTACCCGGAAAGAACTCTGATGCTATTCCTGGGAAGCCCACTCATGTCACTGCCATCAGTTGGATCAAATATTACTTTGATGAAATCCCTGGAAATGTGATCCAGTCCCATTTCAACAAGGGCCTTGTGAGTGTAAGAACATTATATTTTCTCCCTTTAAATTGTGGGTTTAAAATTCTTTATTCATATTGATGTTTCTGCATCAAATTTAACCTGAAATGTTTTTCTTTTTCTGAAATAAAGTTTTATACCAATCCTACCAAGTAGATGCAATAGTTTGGTGTGAATGTAATGTCATTTTCATCTTCGTCTGTTAAAAGAACTTCATAAATGTGTAAGACAAAGTTCGTATGAAATCGTCTCACATCATTACATTTCTCTACAGGTCTCATTATAGATATTATCTGCATTAGATTTCACAGCTAAATAATGCTTCTTATGTTATTAGACGATTCTTGTGCTTGGAAAATAAAAATCTTTGTTTTAACATTTTCTAATAGGTCCAGATGGAATGTCGAAATTTGAATGAGCCATTGATGGAACATGAAGGACAAATAAAACCCATGAGAAAGGTAATGGTTCTTGTTTATTGAGCTAGTTGTTAATCAAATTTCACAGCTATACGTGTTAACTTATTGCATATATTTAAAACTGAAAACCTGAAGTTATCTCCCACTCTCTTAGTGTGATTGTGTTCGTGCATTTTGTTTTTTGTCGTTTCAACTGTACACGTTACTTTTTTTGGTTTAATTATTCTACAATTCTACAGCTAACATACAGATTAAGCATAATGAGGTAATGGAGGTGGGGATGAGGCTTCATGTACCGGTATCAGTTGCTGAGGCTAGGATTTCCAAGAGATTTAACACCATACCTAGTGGAACTCTATACCCAAATGCTGATGAGATAGAGTATTTGCAAAGGCTTGTCAAGTACAAGGTATGTCTTTAGTTCAATTGCTTATTCATCACCAACGGGCCAGTGGCCTAGCGGTATCAGCCTCTTACTTCCCAAAGGGACGTCAGGGGTTCAAGTCTCAGAAGAGACAAGTGTGTATGAGTACCAACTAGGGAAAAAAAAACAAGAAGTGCTTATTCATCTTATTTCATGCAATTTCAGTGTGCATATGAATTTCTAAGCTCCTGACTTTTCAGTTCCCCATTTTCATAGTAGCCATACATTATCAGTCTCATTTTCTTTTTGTTTCTTTTGCCCCCTTTTATTGGTTGGTTTGGTGTGACAATATAGTTACCTACTTCTGCATGCTATTTTTTTTTGTAGAGTGGTGGATTGTGGTGGATGCAATATGATTATGTTCTTGTTCCATTTTGTAGTTGTGGCATCTGTTTTCCTCTGATTATCGGTTGTTGAAATTTCAGGACTCTGCTATAATCGTACTAAATAAGCCCCCCAAATTGCCAGTGAAGGTTAGCTTCTCTATGGTCCATTCTCCCCTCTCTAACTAGCCTTCAAAGTTTTTTAGTTTTATTATTATTATTTTTAAATTTTGATTGTTATATATATATAATTATGTTATTAGGGGAACCTTCCTGTTCATAACAGCATGGATGCCTTGGCAGCTGCAGCATTGTCTTATGATTATGATGAGGGTCCTAAATTGGTAAGCTTCTTGTTTTGGATAATGATAGTATTAAAAAATTAAACTGTGCTGAATTTTTCTAGTTTCGTACAATAAGAAAAACTTAATCGATTGAAGTTGGGTGCTACTGTTTTATTTAGGTATGTATTTATGATTTAATACTTTTATCCCAACTCAGTTATTTATGATTTGGGGGCTTAGAATATTGAAAATTTGAAGAAGATCTGACAAGGCTTGATTATATGGTAAGATAATTGGACAAATGAACTACGAGTCTACAATAGTTGAAAAGGAGGACGTGGCCAAGAACAACTGCACAAAAATTATAACCTCAAGCTATCTACAAAAGCCAAAAGAGTATCCAAAGATTTACAATTAGAGCCCTGAACCCAAAAAAATAGAGAACTAAGTACAGAAAATCTAACCATCCCCCAAGGAGACTCCACCCCATCAAATGATTTCCTATTCCTATACTTATGTTGGTGTAGTATTTTGGCATCATTGTTGACCATTGTTGTCATTGTCATAATTTTTTTTATATCTTTACTTTTTCTGATAAATGGAAGTTCATTGAAAAAATTTAGAAGGGTAGGGATGGTGTATAAAATGCCATCTTAACCTATAGAAAGCAAGAAGGTAAGTACGGATGGAATTAAGCCAATCATTGTACGAATACCTCAAAAAAACCTGTCAAAGTACAAGAAGAATCCTTGATGAAAATTTATCTTTCAGTCCTTCTACCAATTCTGGAAATACCCTCGAAGCCTCCATATGAAAGCATTTCTGAAGTTACTTTATCTCCAAAGGTTCCGAATGGAAGTAAAGGAAATGGTTGGCAAAAATAGCTTGAAGGACCCATCTGACCATAAATCAAGAAACATAGTGTTAAATGTGAGCCATTTGTCCACAACCAAAAATGGATGATGGAAATGAAGAACAACGTGGAAGATCTCTCAAGCTCAATCATATATCTAGGTTAAGGTAAGGTGAGACCTTAGTTACTATGCACGACTTAGGTGTGTGTTTTTTGTTTTTTGTTTTTTTGTGTTTTTTTTTTTTACTTATCAAAAATATTGAACCTTTTGGGCAAAACCTTCGATCAAGTGAAAAATATTATGATTGATCGATCGGGAAGTTCATTGTTAGAAAAATTTTCAAAGCAGAATTTTAATAGGACTTATTTTCTTATTCCACAATAGGATTGTTGTATTGGCTATAAATATGTGGCTATAATCAGTCTACAGTATCTCATAAACCTTTTAACTCTCTACATATTATTGATAGAATTTATATCTTTAACAAGAGGGTTGAAAATTGATTTAGGGTTTTCCATAGAGTACCATACTCTTTGTTTTTGAGAAAATCTAAGCAAGTAGCTGATTAGAACAACCAAACAATCAACCAAGTCATTTGTAAAGAACAAGTTAAACAGATGTTACTAGTCATCGGAGATCAAAAGCCTTGGTAGAAGAGCAGATTGCATGAGGAGCCAATTCGTTTAATAGCAGCAGTGTAGTTCAAGGAGAATGTCTGGGTAAGAGGTAACTAGGAATTTTTGGCAAAAAGAAAAAAAAAAATGAACAACTCTTTGTTTTCCAGGCCTCTAGTGAGAATACTAGGTAATATTATGATGCAAATGCATGATTGCATAATTTTTCCAATAAATTAAACTTAAAAGGAGAGGTTAAATAGCTCTGTCACTCTCTCTCTCTCTCTCTCTTTTTTCTCTCTCTCTCACACACGCACTCGAGAGAGAGAGAGAGAGAGAGAGAGAGCTAGTGATGGAGTATATTTGGGATCATGTGATCTAGTACACAGACTGCTTTTGTGGAAGCATTTGATGGTAACAGCAACATTGGTCCAGCCATTCTTTTCCTTGATTTTTTTATTGGTAGGTATTTCAATAGTTCTGAAAAAGTATTTACTATTCTTCTGATATTTTCCTCTAGCTCTACGGTAACTTATTTCATGTCATGTCATGATTGTATTCTGTTCCAAAAAGACGTATTTGCATTAGGTGTCTGTTTGTTCCATTAGGGAATGCTTGCTACTGGCGTATGTATGTAAAGCTGGTGTTATCATGCATATTACTGTATATGTGAAATGTTAGCTCCCTTTAGAGCATTTATGGTTGCTATTTCTCATATGACTACTTTGTTAGGTTCATCGTCTTGACAGAGAGAGTAGTGGCCTCCTTGTTATGGGGAGAACAAAAGAAAGCGTAGCTCATCTTCAGTGGCTGTTCAGTGACATAAATAAAGTAAAATCCTTGTCTAAGGTATTCATCTCCTTATCCTCATCAATCTGTATCGTGCAGTAAATGTCACCTTTAAGGGGAAGGTTGTGAAAAGAGTTCCATGGTATATTTAAGTGAATAATACTATAATTACCAATTAATTCTACCTTAGCAACAAAAAGAGAAAAAAAAGAAAGAAAAAGGATCCACGACATTTTCCTAACTACAGACAAAGTAGTGTCACACATTTTAGGTATTCCATGTGATGCACACTCCGTTATATCTATAGGTATAAGAAAATGTGGCAAATTCAAACAACAAGGATAGCACTCATCAAATTAGCTGCTGCAAACTTTTTTTTCATGTATAAAAATATTTAAAACTATGATGTGGGTAATTTTAGGCTTGGAATGATACATGTGAAGCAACATATCAGAGGTATTGGGCATTGGTCATAGGTTCTCCCAAGGAAAAGGAAGGATTTATTTGTGCCCCTCTTTCGAAGGTTCTCCCTCTTTCTCTCTCTTTTCTCTGTCTCTCTCTCTATATATATATGCTCTCATGTGTACATATTTGTGTATGAAAATTGAACAATCTCTTCAAGGATCTTATTTCATCAAAAATTGACACAATGTATATGTTTTTATTGTCATTCATTACAGGTAATTCTTGATGATGGGAAAACTGAGAGGGTTATTTTGGCTCATCCCTCAGGTTTAGAACCTTCCCAAGAGGCTGTAACTGAATATCAGGTGCTTGGTCCCATGATAAATGGATGCTCATGGATTGAATTGCGTCCGCATACAAGCCGGAAGCATCAGGTACTTCTCTCTTCCACCAAGATGCATTTGATATATCCATCTGTTTGCAAGCAATGTAATATTCTTCATGGTGTCAAGCTCACATGGAGTTTTTACTGCACACTTCAAATGGCATTTTGTCAACTATTTAAATACTCTCTCTCTCTCTTTCTATATATATATATATATACATATCTATATACACACACACACTAGGAAACGACCACGTGCAATGCACGTAAATAAAAATCTATGGTAAATAGATAATTTGTATTTCATATTTTTTTATCTTAAATTTAAGTAAAAAATTGACTTCTAAATTTAATAATTCAAAAATAAGTACAAGTCTAAAAATGAGTAATCATTTGCTCATAGAAGGGTAGTGCAATATTAGTCTATGTGATATAACCTCTCCTCTAAGTAAGAAAAGGGGCGAGTCTCACGAGTATTTATTATTGTCTAGAATGAAAAATTTGATAGAAAGTCAAAATTGAAGTAATATATATATATATATAATTTATTTATTTTTATTGAAGAGAAAAAAAATTGCATGTCTATCCTATCAAAGAGATTCTTTTTCCAATAATTATTAATGCATATGAATAATCATTTTTCATAAATCATAATATTTTTGGACTACCCATCCTTCAATGCAGCCAAGATTTTAATACATAAATAAGAGAAGTAAGCCTTTGTAACCAAGATTCTAATATATAAACAAGTAATCCAAGTAATTAAGAGAATAGAACCTCCTTGTGTAAATATGTGAATGTTTTGGTACAACTTACTGCTCTTTAACACATCTTTTCGCATATATATATATATACACACACACACACGCACACACACACACACATACATACATACATGTTGATTGACGCATATTCTGTCATGTGTAGAATTAACTACCCCTTTGATCAATACATTCTCTTGCTCATGTATGAATTGGAAATCCTTGAACAACCCAGCTATAGAAAGAACTGCTACACCAAATAATTCGTGTTGTGAAGTTAAAAAATGAAGCCACACCAGTCACATGGATTATTTTAGTGTCTGGTTCGTTATATCCTTATATCAAAATTTATACAATTTATATTATATATATAAGATAAAAGAATGGCCCTCTAGTTGTATAGTAATAGCAGACTTGCTAGTTATAGATTACCCAGATATTGCTCGCAACAACAAAATAAGTTATTCTAGTATCGATGATTTGCAACCTCAAATCCATCCTCTAGTTTCCTTTTAATCTATTCAATTTTTTAAATTCTACGATATCTTAGCGACTACTTGATTTTCGTTTAACCAGTGTAGAATTAATATCGCCACAAGAAGTTCAATAGAGACAATTCAAAGCATGTGATTCTTGAACCATCCTTAGACCACTGGCACCCCCATATACTAAACAAAAATCAAATGAAAAATAAAATCGTCCAAAGATAAATATGCAAGTAAGTATCTCGCCGTCAATAAACTACTCAAACTGCACTCACCATTGAAGTGGCAATGGTGATTGAAGAAGATGAAATCCTCACAATTTGATGCAGATCATTTAATACACATAATTGGTAATATTTGAAATTCTCCACAATAATATATATACATATATAGAAATAGTCACGTAAATATTTTCTTTCATTTATTAACATTTGTGTCCTTTGAGAAACGAAAAGTGCAACTTTAGGAAGAAAATTTTAGATAACTGTTCTTTTAAAACATAAAGAGTCACCTAAGATATTTTTTTAAGAAAATTAAAATAATTGTCATTATCGATAGATAATGAATGTGATGCATAATTTATATATATAATTAACTTACTCGCAAGCTAGTTCCACATCTGTATTGATAGATGATGTGATATAGCCCAATAGTTCCACTTCAAATGAAAAATGTTAACCTTCTTAAAGTGGATAGTATTTGTGTGTGAGAGGTTTGTTAAAGTCATGTCTTGTGAGACCTCTCCTTAATTGAGAGATATATATTACTCCCTCCGTCCCAATATAAGTATCACTTATGGTGAGTAGTAATTTTTAAGGAAATATATGGGACATACATTGTCTGCCTAAAGAATTACTAGCTTGCCCTTTTAAGTTTTGAATATTCAAGTTTGAAATTTAAACTTAAAGGATATTTTTGGAATGATGTGAAATATATTGTTTGAAAAAGGAAAGTGGACACTTATTTTGGGATAGATAAAAAAGGAAAGCATGATACTTATTTTGGGACGGAGGGAGTATATAGAAAGTCAAGTAATATTTTCTTTTTTTTCTTAACGTTTACGTTTGGGCAATTCAAAATATATATATATATATATATATATATATATATATATATATATATATTTAATTCAGAAGAAAAAAATAATTTTTGAATAGACATGAATCTATACTGTTGCTTTTTTCGTTGAACAACAATAGAATTCATTATTAATTAAAAATTAAATTGCAAATCGTTTTTGTAAATGGGATGCGTTCCCCTTTTGAATGCTTTCTATTGATTTTTTACTTATAAATAAAAAAAAAAAAAAAAAAAAAAAATTTCAAATCAGTAGTCAAACAGTAGAAAAAGATGCGATAATTCAATTTAATGTGAAAGAAAAAAAATTAAGCTAAATGATATTCAATTTAGATACAACTCTTTAGAAATAGGAACTCTTTAAAAAAAAAAATTTAGGGTAATTTACAATGACATCCCCTGAGGTTTGGTTTAATTATAGGTAGATACAACCAACTCCTTTTTTGAACAATGACACCCCTCAGGTTTAATAAAGTTAACAAAGTCACCCCTAATGACATTATTGCCCTTTAACTAGTTAGTTGACGTATTATTATTTTAATTTATAAATAAAATGTATTAGAAAGCGTTCAAAAGGGGAACTCATTCCAAGAGATATACAAAAACCAAACAAGAACCTTATGGACCCAAAGAACCCAAAAAGTCCACAATCTCATCTAAAGATATATAATTTCTCCTCATCACCCAGTTAAAAAGATACTAATAATAGCAAATTTCAGCGCCTCAATGGAGGTTTCCTCCCCATCAAAAGATCTTTTGTTTCGTTGTTTTTATATACTCCACCAAGCATATAGGGGGTCACCCTCCAACAGACATGAGCATGGCGCCCTTCCTTTGGCCCTTCCAAATGTCAATCAATTCCCTTGAAGATCGAGGCATAACCCAATGGATGCCAAAAATACAAAAAATAAGACTGCAGCAATCATAAGCCATAGGACAATGCAAGAGAAGATGATCCATAAACTCTATATCATTTTTACACATACAACACCAGTTGACTGTGGTCTGTTTTTTCTTTCTCAAATTGTCCATAGTCAGAATCTTGTCCAAAGCTGCAATCCAAACAAAAAATGCAACCCTGAGAGGAGCCTTCGAACGCCAAATCGTCTACCACGGGAAACTAGAGCCATGAAAATTGGCGAGGCAAAGGAATAAAGAACGGACATCAAACCTCCCCTGAGGAGAAGGCATCCAAACCAAGGAGTCAGACCCTCTATCATCCAAATCTTGTCTATACAAAAGATCCAAAAGGCCAAGGACATCCTCGAGTTTCCAATCTTGGAAAGAACGCCGAAAACACACATCCTACGCAAGCCTTCCGCTATCAAGCCAATAACAGTCCGCTGCCATAGTCTATCCGCAGCAATCCTAAAAAGTCTTGGAAACAACCGAGACAATGGGCAATCCCTACACCAATAATCCTCCTAGAACCGAACATTCCTGCCCTTCTGAAATTTGAACATAATATGCTTAGGCAGCTCGTCCCAACCCTTGTGAACAACTTTCCATACTCCCGCGCCAGCAATGATCTAACCTTTACAAGTCATTTTTATTAGACCAAACTAACCCTCTTTAACAACATATTCTCACATTAATTAATCAAGCACTACCACCACCACCACCACCAATTACTTCAACATATGTATTTGTTTAACTTTTGAAAAAAAAAAAAAAAATACCAAAATTGAACATAGAATTTATGTAGTAGATCTCGCAAGTAATTGAAAAAAGATTTTAGTTGAACCCCGAGTTCAAAGACTTTAATGGTATTGGATTTTGATTTATTTAATCTAGATTTTATTTTATTATTTTTTTTTCTAGGTTGTGATTGAATGTTGGTCAATTTGGATTTCAAATAACTTCTTACACATTATTTTAAGCTAATATACTTAAGTAGGGCAAATCAATATAAACTTAAATTACTCCCTTTAAATTTATTCTATAGTTATCATCTAAATAAATTTTCATTCAAAATTTTTATCCAAATGAGGTTTTGTTTTCATTTATTTAAATTTATTGTAATTATTCAATTAAGTTCTAATTTATTTTCTTAACGTCTTAAAATTGATGTATAGTGAATGTGGTTAGCTTAGCTAGATCATAATGTCAGACAACTCTGTATTGTCAATTTCATGCAATTATTTATATTAATTGCATGTTTCCTTGATAGATAAATTTTCATTTCAATAGCATCAAGTGGCATGTATAAATATGCGTATATATATTGAAAATAATATATAAATGCGTGTGTATTATAAAGTAAAGTTATCAAGAGAACCTTGCATGAACACTTTTTTTTTATTAACTATTGGATTAGAATGATTTTTGAAATCTACTAAATGTTGAATAATTGGTGGTGGTGGTGTTGTTTGGTTTATTAATGTTAGAATATGTTGTTAGAGAGGGTTAATTTGGCGTAATAAAAATGACTTGTAAAGGGTAAAATGATAATTCCAATATTTAAATAGGTCAACTAATCAATCAAAGTGCAATCATGTCATTAGGGGTGTCTTTGTTTACTTTATTAAACCTAAGTGGTGTCATTGTTTAAAAAGAGGTCAAGTTATATCTACTTGTAATCTATGCTATATGGACTCTTCAAAAGTAGTGAAGTACCTATGTCAGACACATATTGCTCGGACATGGGTATGGAATATGTATCCAACACTTTGATTGGACATGTCCTTAAAAAACATATCCAATCATTCAATTATATTATATTATTA